AGCGTCAGCGCCGGCGCCGCCGCTGCGGCGGCACGAGGCGGGGCCGGGACACCCTTCTCCAGCGTCCTCCTCGTGTTTGATCTGCGGCAAGAATTGTCTCGTACGAATCTACCAGACCCCGCCCCACCTTGACCGCCATCCCTTGCGCGAAAACCCCGACCCCAGGACCTGGCCACCCACATCTGCGTGGACTGGTGAGTGCAGGGCCGGGCCAAGGGGAGCGGCCGCCCCTCACGGGGGTGCGCTGTGCAGGGCGCCTCTGCCTGCAGTCAACTGGCGCCGACCATGGCATGCCAGCCGCTTTTTTGACGGCGCTGTGTAATGTTGCCTTTGCTGCGCCCCCCGGCCCCGCTGTTGTGGCCTGGCACCACTTGCAGTTCCCCTCGCTGCAGCGCTTGTGTGCACACGCACCCGTTCACACAACTGCACGCGACAGCTCACGTACACACTCCTATGCACACACACACACACACATGCAAATGCACACACACACATTAAAACGCGCGCCTGGCACGCAACCTCCACCCAGCGGCTACATCTACTGCGAGACCACGCCCTTTGAGGAGCTGCCCAGCAACTACTTCTGCGAGCAGGTGAGGGTTCGTGTCCTTCTGCTAGTTTGCGGCGGGCGGTGCCCAAGGCGACGCTGTGGTGTCAGAGTGGTGCCGTGCGTGTTTTGGGGAAGGTGGGGAGGCGGTAAAGAAAGATTCAGGGTTGAGCACTGACACTGGGGTCTGCTCGGGACGGCCCCTCGCACCCACGCAATACTCTCAGCCGCCAACCCCTCCCCCCTTCCCCTGCTCATAGTGCAACGCCCCCAAGAGGCGCTTTGTCAAGTACGACGCCGAGACCGGCAAGGTGCGGCCACCAGGAGGGCGGTGGTTGCGGCGTGGGCACCGGTGCCGCGAGGCCAGGAGCAGGGGCCGGCTTTTGGGGGCCAGAGCGATCGTGGCAGGGGGAGCCGCGGCAGGCTGGCCCAGCCGGCACGCAGCGACAAGCTCGCGTCTGTTACGGCCGCGGCGGCTGCGGCTGCGGCTGCGGCTGCGGCTGCCGGCTTTGGGGTCGCCGGGGGAGCAGGTCTGTGCTGGCGTAACCGCCTGTCCCCTCGTCTCTGCTGTCTACTGACCCCTGACACTGCCCCTCCCCTTTCTCACCCTCCCACGTAACGCGCCTCAGTCAAGCGGCGTTGCGGAGGGCACTGTTGGCACCATCGCCACGGTCATCGGTGGCCTGGGCGGCCTGGGCGTGCTCCTGTACCTTGGCCTCAGCGCTTGAAGGGGGCTAGATGCTTCCCCGTCACCCCGCTGGCCCATCCCTGGCGCGACCGGCCCACGTGGTCGTGTCGGTGCGCCGGGGGCAGGCGGGAGAGAAGAGAACGAAGCGTGTGGCGGCGTGTGCCGCCAGCAATTTTGGCCGGAGGGGCGGCGTGTTGCGGCGCTCCCACTGGTTTCTGCGCCTCAGGTGGTGTGAGCATTTTTTAATCGTCTGATCCTGATGTAATGTGCAAGGCAAGACACGTGAGAATGGGCTGCTGTGTGGCTTGGCTGCCAGCGCTGCCTGCAGCAATATTGCAACGGCACCGCATGGTAATCAACGTGGCAGACATCAGGGGCCTGGTCAACACGTTTGACCAATGATGGGTGGCATTCGAATAGCATGGAATTCTTCATCAGTTCGTTATGAGCTCTTTGAAATGAGAGAGTTATGCACCTCTTTTTGGCGTTGCCCTGGCGCGCTGTGCTGACCCTGCCTTGCTGCATGCGATGTTGACCCATGAGTGCTGTCAAGGACGTCTTAGCCGGCAGCCATTGCACATCAAAAGGGATATTTGTCACGACAAGGCCCGCTCAGCATGAGATAGCTGCAAGGGCAGCCTTAGAACGGTGCACATGGCTCGCAACAGCCGCGTGATTTTCCAAACTGCCGCCATGAGAACCCCGATTGCACGAGCATTGTTTGAATGTGGTAAAAAGTAAAATCAGGCACAGCCAGCAAGCCCATTCTCCTCTGATCCCCACTTGCAGGCGAAACCCTTGTGGCGTGTCAGGCTCGGTGATTTCGGACACACATTAGCCAGCACCACAGATGCAGACTCAGATGCAGAGGCAGGCGGGCGGGTGCGCCGGGAGCACTCGTCGCGGCCTGATCTGCCGGTCCATGCTGCACGAGGGCAGAAAAATGTACACCGGAAAGACCGTTTCCCCGCCCAAGAAAGGTGCATGCACTGGCCCATTTGCGATTGAGCAAGCGGCTCGAGCGGGCCGGGCGGGACAGCCCGCGCGCCGCAGCGTCGCAGTCTGCGCAGTCACAGTCAGGAAGGGTCAAAAGCGCGCCGGCGGCCCGCCGGCCACACATACAGCCTGTCATGGCCGCCGACAGTCGCATTCATGGCACCGTGCTCGCAACGCGCTCTTACAGACTCAAGCCGACGTCGCCTCCACCCGCGCCTACCCCCCTCTCCATGCACCACCATACCCCCGTCCCCTCACCCCCCGACGCCCAACAACCGCCAACCGACCCAAGGCAAGCACTTCCTGCACCTGGACGACTTCTCAAAGGACGAGCTCCTGGACATGCTGGAGCGCGGCGCCCACGCCAAGCAGCGGCTCTACGCGCGCGACGAGTCGTTCAAGCCCTTTGCCGGCCGCACCATGGCAATGATCTTCACCAAGCCCTCCGCCCGCACGCGCGTGTCCTTCGAGACGGTGGGGACGAACCACCGATCTCCGCGCCGCGGCCGCCGCCGACCCCACGCGCGAGCGCCGCCGCGCGCCCCCGGCCGGACCCGGCCCGGCCGGCCGCAAGGGCCCCCTGCGGTGCTCATATCAACAGCGCCCCCACGCTACCAATTTACCCGCCCTGCCGGGGCGCCGGCCGCTGGGTCACCGCTGACGCCCTTGCTGCCGCTCCCTCTCCCTCTTATTCCCCAATCCGAAACCCCAGGGCTTCTTCCGCCTGGGCGGCCACGCTGTGTACCTCGACCCAAACACCATCCAGATCGGCAAGCGCGAGCCGACAAAGGACATCGCGCGCGTGCTGTCCGGCTACAACGACGCCATAATGGCGCGGCTTTTTGGCCACGCGGATCTCATAGAGCTAGCCGAGTTCAGCAGCGTGCCGGTCGTCAACGGGCTCACGGATTACAACCACCCCTGCCAGGTCAGCGGCGGCGGCGGCGGCGCGGGGGCGGGATGGCGCGCGGGCCGGACGGCGCGGCCCGGCGCAGCTGGGCGGCTCGGAGCGGGGGTGGCGCGTGCTGCGGGAGGCTGGTTTGGCTGCAGATTTTGAAGCGCTCAGTCGGGCTCTGCTTGCTGTGTTCTGCCCGCCGGCTGCCCGCTGCGGTACGGCATCCTCACGCACAAGCGGAACCCACCCCCACCCCCGCTCCGCGGGCAGATCATGGCGGACGTGCTGACGATCTCCGAGGTTAAGGGGAAGTTTGAGGGGCTCAAGGTGGCCTACGTTGGCGACGGCAACAACATGGTAGGCTCCAGGATCTCTCCGCCAGCCGCTGCCACCACAAAATCACACCCGCCCGTGATAAGGTTGGACTTTCTAACCCCAACTGAGGCCAGCAGCGCCCCAGGCAGCCAGCCCTTGTTTGCCGAGCATGGCACAGGCTCGCCGACCGGCGCCAACGACAGTCTGCCAGTGCCGCAAGCGGCGGTCGCAAAGCCCCCATGTTTCTGCACAGCCGCCACAGCCACGCCCGTTAACCTCGGCCCGCGACCCACAAAAACGCACTTGCCCAGGTGCACTCGTGGCTGCGGCTGGCCGCGCGCATTCCCTACGAGTTTGTCTGCATCTGCCCCCCCGGCTACGAGCCCGACGAGGGCACCGTGGCGCTGGCCAAGGCGGCCGGCATCAGTGACGTCACCGTGACGTCAGACCGCAACGCCGTCAAGGGCGCTGACGTCATCTACACTGACGTGTGGGCGAGCATGGGGCAGAAGGAGACGCTGGAGGTCAAAATGAGGGACTTTGCGCCCTACCAGGTGCCCGCGCACCGGTCGCCACCCAACATGGTTGCTTTTATAGGGGAATCGGGCGTGGTGTGGATGCCGAGGGCGTCGTCCACACTGGGGTGAAGCGCTGTGGCGTGAGGGCACGCAAGTGCGGGAAGGTGTGGGATGTCGCGGCAGGTGCCCGATGCGCCCACTGAGTGAGTGCTGGCTGCCAACAGAGTTTCCTGGGTGGTGCTGGAAGCCCAACAAGAGCACTCCCTTCGCGCTGTGCTGGTAGTCGCACTTCACTTGCACCCCCCACGAACACACGCACACACGCACACACACACACACACGCATGCACACACGCACACACACACACGATCACAGGTCAACCAGGACCTCATGGCCCTGGCCGGCCCTCAGTGCACCTTCATGCACTGCCTGCCCGCGGAGCGCGGCTTGGAGACTGTCGACGCCGTGATGGAGAGCGCTGCCAGCGTGGTCTTCCAGCAGGCGGAGAACCGCATGCACGCGCAGGTGCGGGGCCGCCGGGGCCATGCGATACGGGCGACGCCAGCAAGGCCGCCCGATCCGCCGCTCGCCGCACTGTGTCTTTGCGTGAGCCCAGGTTGTACCGCAGCGTTTGGTTCTCTGCTCATGAGCACCCTGGCGCCTGACCCCCCCCCCCATGCTCACTCCCTCACCGCAGAACGGCATCATGTTGCACTGCTTCGCCTGATTGCCACCTGCAGAGCAGCTCGCCTGTTATCCTGCGTGCACGCTGGCATTGCCATTGGATGGTGCAATTACACAGCTTGATGCATTTTTTCCACCATAAGGCTTTTTCAGAGACAGTGTGTTTGCTTGCCTACAGGTTGGGTGTCTTTGTCAGAGGTCTGACAAAAAGCAACTGACTCTGGAAGGATCCTGCTTGCCAAACGCCAACCCATACCCCTGCAGTTTCACGCTCGGCTTGCTGACGCATGATGAGCACCACACAGCCTTTGCTGCATATCCCATCCAAGACGGAGTGTTTGCAGGCTACGGCTGCAAAGTGCGGGGCTAGGGCTGTGAGGGCGCGTGCTTTCTCTTCAGCCGCTAGTGCACTGCCTGCCCGGCTCGAATCAGCAGGGTCTTGCCCATCGCTGCTGCAAAGCAAGATGCAACGCACGGGGTCAGCTGATGCTGATGCAGCTGAGGTTCGAACCGGGCAGGCCCTGAGCATTTCCCTCCAAAGCCTCCCGCACTTGAAGCAGGACCTCAAACGCTCAAAAGCATTTCCTGCAGGTTGACCGCTGCTGCAGCTGGGAGTCCCCCAGCACCTGCCAAGCCCGCTGCAGCCACCATCCCTTGGCGACACCAGAATGGCGCTTCAAGCGCCAATTGCACGCCCATTTCAGCCAGAGCGCTGCTGCTGCCTTCGTCCCACCTCCTACGCCCCCAGATGGCTGCCCCAAATCAAATACCCAACGCTGCTTGCCGTGCATCTAGGCGCGGCCTCCAGGTTTCAATGCACACCCCGTGCGGATGCTCAGTGGCATGATACTGTCTCAGAATCATGACGCGCGTTACTCAGAGAGAAAGGGTGGCGTTCAAGGGGCAGGGGTACGCCACCATGAGGCGGCCTAGGCGCCGACCTTGGTGACCATGAAGCGCGACAGCGGCTGGCGGTGGCCGTTCTTGCGGCGGTAGTGCTTCTTCGGGCGCATCTTGTACACAATCACCTGGAGTCAATGGTTCGTGGGATCAAGAGAATTGCGGTCGTGGGCCCATGGTGGGGCGGAGGGCATGGAGCGTGTCGTCCTGCATGTCAGTGGGGCCGGCCGCCGCCCGCAGCGGCAGCAGCGCCGTTGATTGGCTGGCCGCCTGGCCCTCCGCCCTCGCAGCCGCCGGCGACGCCCATCATAAGCATCCGCTTCAGCCCATGCCACGCGGCATACCCAGGTGCTGCACGGCAGCACGCACGCACGAGGTGCCCACTCCACCCCTAGAGAGCACGTTATCACCTAGCAAACCCCCCTGCCCCGCCGCACCCGTACCGCTGGCGTTCCCCCATTCAACACCTCACGCGTCGCTCTTCTGACCCCAGCCAATTGTGCAGCAGGGGCCGCTACCACCCCACCCCACTCCACCCCACCGCTGCCCCCAGGTCCCCACCTTGGGGCCCTTGAGCTCCTCCAGCACCTCCGCCTCCACTGCAGCGCCCTCCAGGTAGGGCGCCCCCACGGTGAACTTGCCCTCCTGCTTCAGAGCCAGCACGCGGCCGAAGCGGATCTTGCTGCCTGTCTCGACCTGCGGTGCGGCGTTGTTTGGGGCCGAGGGGGGCCGCAACGGGTAGGTCGCTTGCCAGGTCGCTGCTTGCCAGGGGGCCACGTACTCCACTGCCAGCGCGACGATCGCTTAAAGCTCATCTCTCCAAGCAGGTGGATAAATGCAGCCCAGAGGTGGCTGAGAGGCACCAGGAGCGAGCGCGGCGGCCGCAGCGCACCACCACCAGGCGCGCGACGCAGCGCGCGCCCCGGGCGCCGGCGAACGCCCATTAGCACCTGGAGGCGGTTGCAGGTGTACCACTTGCCGGGCTCCAGGAACATCTGCCGGCCACCGACCTCCACAATGGCGTATGTGTCCGGGGCCCCCGCAGACAGTAGCGATGGGCTGCCGGTCGAGGCCTTCTCCACTGCCGCTGCGCACAAATGAAAATGCAATAAGGCCGGTCAATACAACCAATCAGCATCGCCGTAGACGAAGGGGCCTCCGAGCGAGCCACACAAGCCATGTAGTCCTCGCCTTTCGCTCGCCCCATCTCGCCCTTGCGTACCTGCTTGGCACACGGGCCTAACAATGCTGCGGCTGACAATGGGCCTGGCGCTGGCCGTGAAGGCCCGCCTGAGGCCAGCGGAGCGCTGGGCCAGCATTTTGGCTGCTGTGGTGCTGCTGCTGCTGCCGCCTATGCAATGCTCCTGCTGCAGCGTTGGTGTTCTTGATGTGCGCGTATCGGCGTTGTGCATCGTCGACACACCATACCCACAACGCACATGTCGAAGCGGGGCGGGCGCCAACATGGACCTCTGGTGGACCGAGCGAGTTGATGGAACAACGTGCAACCAGGTTGCTTTTACCGTTGCCCTCTTTGCGGTGGCAAGCCTCTGGAGCCAGCCTGCGTTGTGATCTGACGACAATTGCACCTGCGCTTGAGCCTGTGCACTTTGAGGAAGCGTGGACGCTCGATATAGCTGACGAATAGTACCGGACATCGTAACTTGGACGGGCAGCACGCGGCACGCGCCCTGCCGCGCACCTGCCTGTGCAGCACACCGGAAAGGGTGGGCCGCCTTGCAGCCCGCAGCGAAGCTCTAGGCTGGCCCCGCATGGCGTCGTCAGGCTCCTGATTGTTGCAGAAGACCTCAATTACAGTCCAAATGGGATTGGAGTGAGCTTTTGCCTGGGCCCCAGTACGAAACAGTGCGGAACCTGACCGCGCACCCCTCCCCTGCGCACTGCCGCGCAGGTGCATCGACGCAGGAGGCAGCAGCCCCCAGCCTCCCAACCCCCCGCGCAT